ATCTATCTATCTATCTATCTATCTATCTATCTATCTATCTATCTATCTATCTATCTATCTATCTACTTAGTTACTTACTTACTTTGTTTAGAGACAGTTCTCTCATTGGGCTAGAACTCATGAAGAGGGCTACACTGTCTGGCAGGGAAGCCCCAGGGAAATCTGTTTGCCTCCACCATCCCAGCACATCAGCACACCCAATTAAACAAACAAACAAACAAAAACCCTGAGTTGTAGGGATCAAACTCAGGTGCTGTGAGCTGAGCACCCCCGCTTCCCAATCTTGCAGAATCTCATAGTCTTGCCTGTTTTCTGAGAACTTTGGTTCACTCTTATTTGCTGATTTTTTTCCTTGAATTCTGCATGTCACTAACATCTGTTGCACGTTACGCCTGGCCCTTGCCCTGCGATGCCACTTGAGTTCATACATTCATTCTCGTAACACAAAAGTATCACTGTTAAGTTAGTAATCCACACAGGATGCGTAAGTTGAGCAGGACTTCAAACTCAGGTAAGATGGCTTCCAAGCACCAGGATTTAACAATAACCCATAATGCCTTTCACACATGAGTTAACATCACTAACATTCTGATAATAATTAGTAAATGGGAATGGCCATTAAATGCTGTTGGGGCTTCAAACACAACACCCCAAGGTATGGTGCCTTGACATGCGGTACTTCGAGAAGGTACTCTGAAACAAGGTCTGTCCTGCCCTTTTTTCTCTCTCTGCAGTTCCCACTTGGGTCACAGAAATTAAAATGTCTGTTCAACCAGATAGGTAATCCAAATGAGAATTCCTCTCTCTGAACTGGCCATAAAACTACAAGGTCTTTTTTTTTTTTTTTTTTTTTTTTTTTTTTTTTTTTTTTTTTTTTTTTACCTTCCTCCAATTTTCTATGGGAAGTCATAATAAATGAATTTTTTGACCTACATACTTGAGAGTAGGTAGGTCAAAAGGCCCTCATTCCTGAGCATTCCCTTCAAGTCCATGGATCTTGAAGTCAAGAAGAATTAGAGGATTTGCTACCTTTCTGCTTCAGTTTATTCCTCTAAGATCCTGCTCTTGTTTTCCAATGCCATTTCTATGTAATTCTTCATTCCTCATATCAGACTTAACTAAAGGCACACATTTCCACAGCTCACCAAACCCATATTTCTCTGACAGCTGTCACCTACACTTCGTTTAAAATACACTTATGCTTTTGTCTTTTAAATCTTTCTTTCGTTAAATACAGGTTATCAGCAAGGAACTTTGGCAATGGCTGAGAAAACGGTGTCTTTTGTTTTGTTTTTTTTTCTTTTCTTTCACAATATGAAACAATGAGCTAAAAGTATATATTCATATTTTCTCCATAGACTGTCCTAATTGTTACGAGTTACGACTGTCTGAATCACGGCTGTTGCCAGGAACGAAGCTGTAATTTTTCCCTCGCAGTGATGCTGTAGCTGTGCCCCACAGGGCTGTGATATATTCTCTCTCTACTATTCAGTTAAACAGGCTTTCCCATTTTCACTGTGACCCGTGCTCCCACATTTTTCTGTATGCTGCTTCAGTTGCAGGCACTGGAATGTCCGATTACCTGTGGAGTCTGCTATGGCCAATGAACCAATGGGCATCGTGAGTAGAACAGGATGAGCTCCCCGTTTCCTGAGTCAATCATATTCAAATTTAGTTTATATTTTTCCAGTTCATTAGGTTCTTCTGTCTTTCCAAACACTGCTAAGAACTGGCTGTGGTATAGAACTCACTGAATATACAAACCACACTGAAGGGCAGAAGCCGTGCCCGACAGTGGACGGCAACACAAAATGAACTCTGTGGCATTTTAGAGACTTTTTGGTCTCATTGCTTTGTTTTGGCATTTTTTTTAAAAAATCCTACTGGTCTTTTGCTTGAAAATTATGATTTCCGGTTTTGTGTTTTTATGGGCTTTATGTCTGTGTGTGTGTGTAGACATCTGTGTTTCTTGTGCTTTTATTTTGTTTTCTGTTTATTTTGTTTTATTGGTTTTTTTTTTTCTTAGTTGCCTGTTTGTTTTCTATACAAAGAAAGAAAGTATGAAGTTCAAAGGGTGAGGAGGTAGGGAGAAGATGGAGGATGTTATTAGAATACCTTGCATAAAAATGATTTTCAGTTTTAAAAAGTAGCATTATTAGTCTACAAAAGAAATAAATCAGAGTTGGATAATTTCGACTAAAATGAAATGATTGGTGATACCCAGAAGGAGATGTCCATTGATAAACTTCTCCATCAATAAAATATTTATAGTCCTTCAAATATATGTATTTAAATTTTCATGGTCTTACCTCAACCCAAAAATAATTACCAAAGGTGACTCGCACTCAGTAATGACTGACCAAATTTCTTACCTCTTTCAAACGTACTTGAAAAACAAGCCTCAAGTTTAACCTTGCCGTTATAAAACAATGCCTCGGTTTCTATGTCTGTATCAGTGTTTCTGATACGGGTATTTATATGCATTGCTATGAGATAAGTCTTGTTCTAAATACGACTTTACATTTTTAATAAAGATAATATACGATGAAACAATGTACCTAGGGGAAAAAAACAAAAAAAGAACACCCCAAGGGTCCCTTCCGTGTGCCTCTCCCCAATAATACACCATCCGGCAGTAAGTTAGCTCGAGTTATTTTCTATACTGTCTTCTTCATATTCAGAATGTAGTAAATATTAATTCCAATGAAAAACAAGAAAGGCGATCCACTTGGATTCATCCTACTTCTAATTTTCACCTGCAGCTAAGGGACTCTGGGAGGGTCCGGTTTGTCTAGGGACTGGCCGGCTAGGAGGGCGGGACTAGAAGACGGCCAGTTAGGAAGGCGGGGCGAGGGGCGGGGCGGATAGGAAGGCGGGGCTAGGAACGGCCGGCTAGAGGGTTGGAGCTGTGGGGAAGGACGTCTAGGAGGGTGGAGCTAGAAGTTGACTGACTGGCGAAGGCGGAACTAGAGGCAGCTCAGCAGGGTAAAGGGCGGGGCCGTAGGCTGGTCCCTCCGGTTAAGGCAGAAGGAAGGGCGGGCCGGCAGGGCGAGGGGCGGGACGATGGCGGCTTATAGGGGCGGGGCGGGGGCGGAGCCTCCCGGCGCGCTGACGTCAGAGCAGGCTGCGACGCTGGCGGCCGGCTGGAGCCGAGGCGGCGGAGGTGTGTAGCGGAGCCTGGCCTGGGCAGACGCGGGCCACAGCACCTGGCTCGGCGGCGGCGGCGGCTCCGGGGCGGGGGCGCCAGCGGCGAGGCCCCCTCCCCGGGGAGGCGGGGCCGGGCCGGCGCCGGGGAATCATGCATCAGAAGCTGCTGAAGAGTGCCCACTACATCGAGCTGGGCAGCTACCAGTACTGGCCGGTCCTGGTGCCCCGCGGCATCCGCCTCTACACCTACGAACAGATCCCGGTGTCCCTCAAAGACAACCCGTACATCACCGACGGCTACCGGGCCTACCTGCCGTCCAGGCTGTGTATCAAAAGGTACAGTGGCTGCTCCTCGCGGCGCATCTCTCCTCCAAAGCTTTTTGTCTGGTCTCCCCGCCTTTCTCCGCTTTTTTTGTGTGTGCACATCACTCCGTCACCTCTGGGCCCTTGAATCATTCTGCTGCCCTATCTCCCCTCCGCGGGTCCTTAATCCACTAGATAACAATGATAGCAACAGTGGTTGACTTTTCCCGTGGCCCTTTGCTGTTTACAGAGCGCTTTTAAATCCTTTATTCCATTTGGTATTCACTGGGTTGGAATCTCCCCCACTGACAATGGCCGAACCTTATTTGCCTTGTGTCTACCTGAGCTTTATTTCTAGGGCACTACTGTGGGAATTCAGGCATGTTGGCTAGCTGAGTGCCCGTATAATAGCAGACAAGCACACATAGCTGTGCATATGTATGTGGGAAGCCCTGATTCCTTCAATCGTCTCGCAGATACGCATGGAGCCTCAGCTAGGTGGTAGGCACCTTATGAGATCCTGCAGACGGCAGGCATGGCCCTTGTTCCCATGAAGCTACTAAGGTCTAGCCTGAGAGGCAGACAGTAAAGGGATAATTACGCTATTACATAATAGTCACTGTGGAAAATGCTGTGTAGGAAAAACCCTGTAGCAAAGAAAGATAAAAGTGGGTAGCTGGTCTCCAACAGAACACCTTGGGAGCCTCTGTACAAAGTGGATTTCTCTGTTTTGATCCTTAAAATCAGAGTCCCAAAAGCTTCTGTTAAAAAAAAAAAAAAAGAAAAGAAAAAATTTAAAAATGCCTTTAGTTTTCAGAGTAGTCTTCTGTCAGAACGCACTGTATGTACTAAAGTCATCGCTCTGGCAGAAGTAAGATTCAGCAGGCCAGGTCACTGGAGTGGTAGACTCTGCTTGCAGAATGTGGGCTGCTGAATTGCTCAAGCAGCAACCACCTGTCTGTTTATTGATCTTTCCAGCATGGTCTTTCCCCATCCTTTTTCTTTTTGTACTGCCTTGAAAGCATTTTTGCAACACTGAGTAGATGACCAAGTAGATGTCACAATGGGAGTTTTAATTGCTGCTTCATTTCCCCAGGGCTTCCGGTACATAATTAAACAGGGAATCAGAGCTAGGCCCTACTGTGGGACAGAGGAGGGCAGGCCAGAAGTGGACTGCTATAAAGATTGTATGCCCACCTAGCAGTAGCCCTCTGCATTCTGATGTCTTGAGTCCAAATCTCAGGGAGCTGAAAGCAGGATATAAAATGTTAGATCTTGAGTTGTTAAGTCAGGCACAAGTTAACAAGCCTGCCTCTTGACAGCTTCAGAAATTTGAGAAAGAGTTGGTTGAAAATAAACAGAATATGTGACTGCCTAGCTTTTCTAACAGTAATAGTTTATCCTTTATTGGGGATATTCTTCCTACAATGTTGATCTTAAGCCTTTGCCCTCTCTTCTTTTAACCTTAAAGCATCTCCGGGACAGATTTTGCATGTGAAGAGAGGTTTTAGATGTCCATTCTGTTCCTGGGAAGGAACATGGACAGAGTGTTTAGTTAATCAAGATGAACTGGGTTTCATACAGTGAAAACTTCTGAAGCAATAGGCAGAATGTAGTGGTGATTGCCAAAACAGTCCTATAATTAGATGCTTCTAGAGCATTCTTTTAGTTCCTCCTCCAGCTACAGATAGGCTTTGTATTTGATGATAAGTAAGGTGAAGTCTGTGTTTCCAGATACAGGATTACTTTATTCGTGATCATCTGAGACTTCACTGTGCTTTGCCCCCATAAAAATAAGGATGTGAAACCCATGGGGACTGGTGCAAACGGCTAGTGTGTGCTATTCAGAACTTCTGATTCAGAGCCTGAGAAGATTGTTCAGTGCTTAAGAGTTTTGGCTGCCCTCCCAGAGGACTTGCCTTTGATTCCAGCACCCACATGGCAGCTCACAACCATCTATAACTCCAGTGCCAGGGGGCTCTGATGCCTTCAGGCTCCTGCAGGTACTGGGCACACATGTAGTACACATACATACAGACTAAACACCCACAGACATGAAATAAGAATAATTAAATCTTACCACTCCCCAAAAACAAAACTGATTCATTGACAGCCAAGGTCTTAGCTTAACAAAAGGTTCAATTTTGTTAGAGACATGCAAGAGTATTTAAATCTTCAGTCATGGTAAAAATAAAGAACCATTTCCCAAAGTTTCGAAAGAGTTGGAAGGAAGCACAGGCATCTAATGCAACTCCTTTTCTTTATAGATGAAGAAGCTGATTCCTGCTCAGGACAATTAAGTCTCCACCAGCTTGTGCTGCCAAGGCATTTTAAAAGGACAAATAGTACACAAAGTAATCTCCTATTGTTCCTAAAAGGAGTAAACTCATGCCACCTGAAACTGAAACTGGTTTCAGAACTTGTATAGCAGAATTGCTCTGTCATGCCTGCCTGTCCTCAGAACCTTTCCAGCAGGTTAATTTGTCTGTATTTTGCTTCTAGATGCAGTGAACTTTGTATGTACATTTTAACAAGTGTTAAAAAGTATTTTTCATGTGTGCCTCAGCTTGCGCTGAGCAGTGTGTCAGGAAACTGCTGCAAGACAGTTTTCTAGCTGATACCCAGTGTTCGCACACTTCATTTCTGTAGAAAGTGAGGGATCCGAGCAAGGGCTCCGCTTTAACAAGTGATGCAATAGGAGGAAAGAAGTGGCTGAACACCAAAAGCTGCGTCACCCAGGATTAGTGCAAATTGGAGGAAATATCAAATCATACACCCAACCTTAGAACGGCAGACAGGACTGAAGTTATTAAGCAGCACCCACAGCCCTAACCTTGGAGTGCATCTGAACTGCTTGTGTGTTTACTTTGTAGTTTGTTTATTTTATCCAATGAGACGGTGAACATCTGGAGTCATCTGCTGGGTTTCTTTCTCTTCTTCACCCTGGGAATATACGACATGACATCCGTGCTGCCCTCAGCCAGTGCATCCAGAGAAGATTTTGTAATTTGCTCCATTTGTCTTTTCTGCTTCCAGGTGAGTCATTTCCCAAACAGCATTTGGGGTGAGGAGAACTTTTGTCTGGTGTGCTTGGCGGGTGATCTCACTTCAGACCCACCACTTTGGAGAACTCTCCAGAGGGTTCATGGGACAGCTTATTTGCGTTCATAGCATAAGCACCATAAAAGCTGTTGCTCTTATGTATTTGGAAGTTGTTCTTACAGCATATTTGAAATCCACTATGTTTCAAAGATGGTGGGAACTGTGTTCATGCTCTTGCTCTCTCTTGCCCCGCCCCCATTTGAGGCAGAGCCTCATTGTGCAGCCTGGCATTGAACTTGAACTTTCTCAGCCTCCCTCCTCACGACATGCCAAGATTATAGGCATGTACCACCATGCCTTGCTTTTTTATCTTATAGACATCTTGGCTGTAAGATTAACACTAGGCTATGAGTCTGATTGTACTCTTATTATCTGACTAAAGTGTCTACTTAAAACCTGTTTGGGAAAAAAAAAACAAACCTGTTTGAAAGACTACTTCTTTTTCCTATTTAAAGTCTCTCACTCTCACAGTTGTCCTAGCTGTGAGTTTTTGTATTTGTTTCCATCTACTGCAGGAGAAAGCTTCTCTGATGATGGCCGAGCACGACACTGATCTATGACTATAGTAGACTGTCATTTGGAGTCATTGAATTGCTACATTCTTTTAACAGAACAGTGGTGTTTGGTTTTTACCCCCTAGATTCATGGCCTTTCTGGTCCCAGGTTCTTGCCCTCCCAGGCAGTGTCAGGCATGGGTTCCATCCCATGGAGTGGGACTTAAATACAATCAGATAGTGGTTGTCTATTCCCATAACGTTTGAGCACCATAGCACCAGCATATCATGAAGGCAGGTCACCACTGGAGATTGAAGTGTTCAAACGGATCATTTTAAAGAAGGAAATAAATAGACAATTAGTCCTTTGATATTTTGATAATTAAAAAATATATATACTGAATACCGAATAACATGAAAGTGAAAAGAAAAAGCTAGTGTCACATTTCCTCCTGACAGACACAGGCCAATGCTCTGCACTTGAACCTGTTTTGCCATTTGGAGAGGTGAAACTGTAAATTCACTGCATAGATGTTTTTATTGTATTTCAGAACCTTGTCATCTTGCTCAAAACTTTGGTCCTAAATGACTAAGAAACATATTAAAAACATCTCAGGTTTTCTTTTCAGTAATTTCAACTTTAATAACAGATACTTACTTATTGCCCCTATAAACTTCTAGGCCTTGTGCAGCAGTAATATGGAAGGCTGAATAGAAAAAGCATGCAATAAGATCCAGTCATGTTTATATGAGGGCAGAAAATTAAATCAGGACATTTAAACAGAAAAATCTGAGTAAAAGAACAGACAACTTAGTGCTTTCTGGACATAGAGGTTTTCCTCTTTCCATTTGAATCCTGGGGTAATAGAGGAGGAAGAAGGAAAGCAGGGCCCAGACCGTGGCATACTTTGCTATCCTGCCAATGTGCTGTTCGTAGAATGTACAGTGTAATTACCTTCCCACTTTGATAGTGAAACACGCCATACATTGCTTTCTACAGGATCTGAAACACTCAAATTTGCCAGAATTTGTGATCTTGCAAGGAACTCTTAACAAGGGCACACAGCTCTTCAAACAGAACATACAAGCTACAGGTTTACCTTTTAAGACGTGGGATGCTTTATTGGCATAATTTTCTTTTCCTTTTGATAATGATAGTTTTTCTCCCTCATAGCCCCTTTTCCCAATGAGGTAAAGGTCATGTCGAAATGCAAGCAGATAAAAGTTTATGAAGGAAAGGAAAAGTCAGTTGCAATCCCACCCCCATGGGTAGCCACATCTGACAAGGCGGTTCTTATAGACAGTGTACACACACGGCTGCCTCATGGCTCCCTCTCTGCCTGTCCATTGGCTGCATCCAAGCCGAGATGGTCTCTGCTGCCCACTTGGCCACTGCGTCTTCCATTATTCTCTGTGACGGTAAGGTCCTTCTCTCAGTGAGAAGTTGCACCAGGATGCTCTCCAAGTTTATGGCATGTCAGCACAGGGGTAAGCAGAGAGTACAGCCAGGCTGGCACGTGTAATTGGGCCACCCTGTAAGGGCTTAATACTCAAAAAGCCACAGGCCAATAAGGATTTGTGACAGCAGATGAACAAGAATCTGTGGTTAAGTGTGGTATTACTAAACCCGGACACTGAGTCTCTGCAGGCTAGTCAGGCTGGTTTAATGAACAACCATTTGTCTACTTTTCTCTTGGCAACTAGCTGCTCGGAATACATCTGTCAGCCAGGCCGACTTCATCATACTTAGTGTCCCATTCTCTCCTCTCCCCTTGTCATTGACTTGATGAGCTCAGCATTGCTCCCCAGGACTTGGTTTGGATCCTCTCAGCTTGTCTGGTCTACACCTCTGTAAAGGTGTTCTTCACAGTGTCAGAAGTTTTGTACCTGGGCTACAGTGCCAGAGTTCAAGCACCTTGTGTCATCGCTTTAATTATGGCATGGATAAATCTGCATTCAATTCTTTAGCAGTTTCGTATTTTTAATTATATGACTTGTCCTTATGGACCCCCTTTGCCCCCCCAAAAAATTGACAAACATCTTTTATTCCCTGACGAATGCTTGCTGAACACTGAGGTACTGTTCAAGTGTCAGTCCCTTTCTGATGCTTTTCCCCCTGCCAGGTTCCTCTGCAGATAAATCACATGCACCCACACAGCCAATGCTTGCTTTCCTTTGTTTTCTATGGTCTACGCTGGCTTCCCCTGTGGAGCTTGTTAGAGCAGTGTTTCTCAAAACAAACAAACAAACAGAAAAACGTGGAGTACAAGTTTCATCCTTATATCCCCTTCCATTACATGACACGCAGCAGATAGTTGATGGTCAGAGACACTTCTGTTCTGCTTTCCAATTCGTCAACGCAACTGTCTTCATCATTAGCTTTGCTGTCCATTTGGGAAACATACACATTTTATTTTCTTGGCTATACTAAAGCCATATTTCCTTAAAACTTGGAAGTAAACTGTAGTCTTTAAGTTAAAAAAAAAAAATGATAGCCAAGCATGGTGGCACATACCTTTAAAAGGCAAATGATTTCTATGATCTGAAGAAAAACCAGATTATTGGCACACACCTTTCAACCCAGCACCTGGGACACAGAGGCAGAGAGATCTCTGAGTCCAAACCCAGACTGGGTTATGCAGTGAGTCCCAGACCAATCAGGGCTGTATCTTGGGATCTTGTCTCACAACGATGACAAGAAAGTGTGTTGTAGACCAGAATTACAATAAGTCAGTTTGGTTAATTTAAAGTATTCATGACGTGTTTGTAAACTTGTGGAACACAGGTCTTTGGAACACATTTATTGTGTTTGTAAATGTGTGTCACAGGTCTTTGGAACACATGTTATAGGGGCATGTATCATGTCACCTCTAAGGCACAGATTGAGTGACAGGGGTGTGTATAGTTTTGCAGTTCTATAGCCTTTGATCCCTTTTAAGGGATGGGTGTTAGCTTAATGACCAGTATGAAAGTAAACTCATTCTTGAATGAGAGTAAACTTAGGAGGTATTATGAAAATATTTGAATGTTAAAATATTTGCATTGTACTATTTTTCACAAATTTTTTTGCTCTTTACTTACACTTTTATATTTTAAAATAATTTGTAAGTTTTTGGTGATTGTGGTCCCCCCATTCTCCTGATGAACTCATGAAGCTTCTAGCAGTGACAGTCTGGCCTATGACAGAGATGCACAGCTAGATTTCAAAGTGAAGCATCCCTGACTTGAGAGCCTGGCGTCTGAGCCATCCCTCTGAGCAACAGTCATGTGCTCTGACTCCTGTCTGTCTCACTTTGTTCTTAAAGTCTGTTCTTTGTTTTGTAGGTCTGCATGCTTTGCTCAGTGGGTTATCATCTTTTTTCCTGTCATCGGTCAGAAAAAACTTGCCGAAGATGGATGGCCTTGGATTATGCAGGCATTTCTATTGGAATACTGGGCTGCTATGTCTCGGGAGTATTTTATGCATTTTATTGTAATAATGTAAGCACTTAGAAGTTTCACACGCTATCTTTTATACAGGATTTGGGGGTTCTTGCAGTGGTGGAAATCTGTGAATACACAGTTTGCTTACAAATCAACAGAAGAGTCTTATGTGGGCACAAACTTGATTTTCAAAAGATTCCTGTGAGCTCTAATATCTATTATGGGCCTGTAGTTATTTTGTTAATTTTCTGGGGTGTGGCGTTACAACACACAGAATGCAGCAGCATGTGTCTGTAATCTTGTAGCTCAGGATGGGAGGCCCAGTATCTCAATTTCCAGGCCAGGCCGAGATAGACAGTAAAACCTTATCTCAAAAAAAAAAAAAAATTAAAATTAAAAAAGGAGTTCCACCAACCTTGCCCTCCTGTTATACTTTGATTTTTATTTTCTTTTTCTCATCGTACCTCTTTTTCAGAGCCCAAACTATGCTTCTCTCCCAGGAGCCGCCTAACTGCTCGGATTTCCTGGAGGACAGAGTGTGTCCTGCCCACGCCTCCCTCCCTGGGTCGTGGGTCGGCTCAGATGCAGCTCTGCCCTGGTCTAGGGGGAGCCTGACTGCAGCACAGGGGTCAGTTAGGGTTCTTAAGCAGGTTCTTAAGCACTGGTTTCTGCACAGTGAGAGAGAAAATGATTAGGCTGTCCAGTTTATAAAACTAGTTTGTGCAAGTCTTCCAGAGGACCTGGCTCTGATTTCCACCACCCCCATGTCAGCTCATGGCACTCTGTAACACTAGTTCAAGGGAACCTACATCCTTGTCTGGCACATGGGGCACATACATGCTGGCAAAACATGCGTTCACATAATTTGTTTGTTTGTTTTAATTACCAAAGAAAAAAAGTCTTAGGCTTGAGTATGTTAAGACCATTATTAACTATCTGTTTTTCAGACCCAGTTACATTATAACATAGTATGTAATTAAATATATATGTAATTAATGTGCAAATTGATTGGATTTTACTAGTAAACTGCTCACATATGTCAGAAGTCGACAGCGCTCATTCTGCATGAGCCTCTGCATCCTTAAAGGAAAGTGAAGGAAGCGTCACACTTAAACTGCTGTTTCATTCTGTGTTTCTGTTTCTGTTTATCTCTTTCTGAGCATCAAAGTGGGGAATTGATTTTATAAAAGTAAACATTAAATAAAGATGAATCTAGAAAAAGAGAAGGAAACTATGGACTTAATAGTGCATTATTACATAAAAGAAAAGTTGCTGTCTCCTTCCTGACATCTAATACTTCCAGGCATTTAGTTTTTGTGGTGGCTTCTGCCTTTGGAGGGATACAGGCCACTTGGAGAATGACACTGAAAGCTGGGCTCACAAAAGACAAATGATCTGACAGGTAATTTCTAAAAGTAAGTTGTCCACAGGAGCCTGGAAATCCAGGGAAGAATGCTTACCCTCTGTTAGGCTGACTCTTGAGCCCTAGTCCACTTCACACCATTCATTTAGGATCTAAATACTTTATGATTATACCTATAACTATATATAGTTATATATACATAGTTTATATATATATATATATAGCCTTCCTCAAATAGTCAGCTATTAAGACCTTCTCATCTATCAGATTGCCCTCTAGATCTGATGTGGTGTGTGTCTGTGTGTGTGTGTTTATATAAAAGCATACAAACACACTCACATACACACACGTACACTCACATACACACACGTGCACACACTCACAGAGGCTTCATCCCAGCTGTACCCTCTGTTTGAATAAACTGTCCTGATATCTGTCTGTCTATCCTGCTTCCTCTCACCTCTTCTCTCTACTGGTATCTGAACTCTTGCCTCACTTGCCACATTCTGGGGTTCCAGGCCCAGGCCACCACACCCAGTGTCCAGCCTGGCCTTCAGCAACTCCCGGTGTGTCAACTTGGCAGAGTTTAGTCTTAGTCTCCCCGTCCAGCCTCTAAACCTCCCTGCCCCTCTTTGCTCCTTCTCCCAACACGCTGTGTCTGCATGCCTCACCAGCTTGGCTGTTGTCTTCTGTGTGAAGCATCTTTAGTAAGCCCAGGTAACATTTACTGTTTTTGCTTCGATGGGTCTACAGTATTGTGTTGTGACTTAGTCCCAGCATAATCATCACATTAGCATCGTGTTCACAGTCTGAACTCAGGCACCATAGGCAGCCTTATTCCTTCAACATTTTGCCTGTGCCTAGCTTAGAACAGGAACTCAGAAATGCCTGTGTGGGCCTTGACCAGCTCACTTTCAATTTTGGTTTGTCATCCCAAGAAACATTTCAAAAACTTAACATTTGTCTGGAACACTCTTTAAAAGGTGTGGGGGTCTTGTTTAAACATTAAGGCCAAGTAAGTAGAGCCTGTAATGTTCAATGCAGAAGCCCAGATCACTGCTTTCCTTTCCTTCTAGTATTGGCGTCAAGTGTATTTGATTACCGTACTTGCAATGATCCTCGCAGTGTTCTTCGCGCAAATTCATCCCAGTTACCTCACTCAGCAGTGGCAGAGGCTCCGCCCTATCATATTCTGTTCTGTTTCGGGCTATGGAGTGATTCCTACTCTCCACTGGGTTTGGCTCAATGGAGGAATCAGCGCCCCTATTGTACAGGTGGGTTGGGCATGGTCAGTATTTTTCGGTATGTTTTCGTCCTTCATTTTTATTCCTTGTTTTAAGTGGTATAATCAGGCCACCTGGGTAGCTCGAAATCGTTTGGGATCATGCTTTTAGTTGCATATTGAAACAGAGTTTCTGCAGCTATATAGATAAGCATAATAATAATAAAAATCATTAGTCTCTACTGACTACTGATGACTCACTGTATGGAATAACACCATTCTCTTTCTGTCACACGTGTGTGAGTACACATGTCATCTGTGGGAAGGTCTGCTGAGGTTGCCGTTCCGTCTTCGGGGCTAGTGATAATGCCATAGACAGCAGATCGGAGAAGAGGGAGCAGCTGATTGCTTTTGAGGGTGAGGGATGAGGAAGTGGGGAGGACTTTATGGCTGGACATGTTGAGTTGGAGATATATAAGGAATGTATATAAAGACACAGAGTTTGAATGGAGGCCAGTGTTGGAGGCGGGTATAAATATTTGACAGCAGTATCATATTGTATGTTCAGCCCACCAAGAGGAATACATGGAGAAGTAAAGGAAGGGCTATTGGCTCTGTTGGTTCAGATCTGTGGAGACTGGTGATGTGTAAGGGGAAGAATTCCGAAGGGCTCCAGCCTCCTACCGATCACAGAGGCACATTTCTGTGTTCATAGAAATTCTTATAAAAAGGCCCAACTGGGCACTAGAGAGAAGGTTGAAAATGTCGAATGTAAGTAAGTGTTCCAGGAAGGCTGGTCTCCGTTGTCACAGTGTCCTTTGCCTGGACTTCAGCGGAGATGGTTGTCGCTTTCAGGAGACTTAGTTGACTAGACGTGGAATGGCCTGCCTGTGTGCTTATGTCACTGAGTGAGGAAGACACTTGGTAAAGCAGTGGCAGAGTGAAATGGGTGGCCTGCTAATTCAGAGGGGAGTAGTGCTCTCTTCAGAACACCAGGAGGTAACAAAACTGTGGGCTGTCCTGCTGCATGTGAAGACACTGTGTTTCTGGTAATTGTGGCGCCCAAGAATAATGCCATGAGAAGCTGCTCCCTGTGATCTCATTCTAACTAGAAATGAACAACTTGTAGCCAATAGAGAGTGATTAATTTTAGAGGTGGAAAATTATACTGAGCTTGTAATGATTAAAATAAAAAAAAAGAACAAGAACTTTTGACCTGATAGATTTTAGGAAAGTTTGAATACTCCTATATTCACAAGACTTAAAATAGAAAACTGGCATATAAAGACAGTGGTTCTTAAAAACAAAATTCTAATACAATCACCAGTCATTCTAGTGAGGAAACAAAAGGGAGTCTTGGAAGAAATCTACTAGAAAGCTCTCTTTATTTTTTTAAAGATTTATTTGTTTATTATGTATACAGTGTTCTGTCTGCATGTATGCCTGCAAGCCAGAAGAGTATATCAGACCTCATTATAGATGAGTGTGAGCCACCCTGTGGTTGCTGGGAATTGAACTCAGTACCTTTGGAAGAGCAGATAATGCTCTTAACCTCTGAGCTATCTCTCCAGCCCCCGAAAGCTCTCATTTTTAAAGATGGGAAGAGATGCCGCTCCGAAAGATGAGGTTTCTGAAAGCGTAAAACAGGCGTTTGAACGTGTGTTGTAGAATGGTGAGTAGCACTGGGGACATCTAAGGAAACGCGCTTTGTTTTCCAGGACTTTGCGCCCCGAGTCATTGTGATGTACGTGATTGCTCTTCTTGCTTTCCTGTTCTACATTTCCAAAGTTCCGGAACGCTACTTTCCAGGTAGGTCCTTGTTTGACACGGTTTTATAGCTCTCTTCTGAAAACACATTTGCAGGAACTGCCTTTAAGAATCAGAATTTAGATTGTTTCTCAGATTATGGAGTGACTCTCCCATTTCTAAGCAACATCTATGACTTTGCACTTCAGGGGCATTTCCTACCGCCCTGACCTGGGTTGACACTGGTTCAATTATGAGCTTATGACAGTGCTCACCAGACTCCGAGGATCAGTGACTCCTAGCCCCCGTTCTTCTTAACATGAGGCACTGCCATTAGCTACCATGTTCTTCTGTCCCTGTTTGTTCTTGTAGAATAAATGTCGTTTGCAGAGATACATAAAGCAGGAAATGCGGAAAGCAGAGATGCAAGGGCAGTTAAAAGAGAACGGGTTGAGAGTCACTTTTCTACATGTACATTGGGGTTTTATTTGTGATTTCAAGTTACCTGAAGGAAACCACTCTGGACTAAAAAAAAAAAAAAAAAAACAGTCAAAAGGTTTGTTATAGTATATTGTTACATTTTCATCTCTTCTGTATCTGATTTGTAAATTAAACATTATTTTCGGTAGTCACCTAGGGAAGGTAGTATGTAGAGCTGAATACCATCTCCAGTGTCGGGCATCCACTGAGGGCTCTAGGAAAGTATCCTTAAGGACAGGAGGAGCCTTGAGCTTCACACCAATTCTATGCAGTAGCTCAAGGCAACCAGTCTGGCTTTGCTTGGGTGAAAATTCTGCATAGCCCTCAGCCCCACAGGAGGGTGGGTCTCCCTTCTTCAGTTCAGCACTGGAAGCACTGGTGAAGACCACCTGGAAGACCCTCTCAGTGGTGAACCAGCTTCTGCAAAGCATGCTCTTTTACCCAGCATTCTTGGAGTTAGACTACCTCCGTACTGGCGGCATGTGCTCAGCAAGTTGTGCTTCTGTGTCTGGTCTGAAACAAAGCTGTTACACTGTCTCTCCTGTGGTTCCCATGAGGATTCGTTGAAATTGTTACACAGAACAGCAGGATCCAGGTGGGCAGGAAGCCCTCAGTGAATGACGTCCCTCAACCTCAGTTGTGGGAGTGAAGACTTAGGTTTAAAGAGAGGAAAGCATGCTGAGGTCCAGCGAAGCTTTAGCTTCCCCAAGAGTAACATCCAGAGAACCTAAAACAGTGACTCTGAAATTTGGAAGACTGAATCAAGGAGCAATTTCAACCAAAGCTACAAATCCACCCCTCTTTCCTGGGTTAAAAGTTACTTCCACAGTACTTACTCAGGGGTAAAGGCAGTTTTCCAAGGACAGGACATGTCCACTGCACTGTGGATATGCTGAGTTTTGACTTCCCAACACATGGGGAAATTGACATTTGTTGTGGGAAGGGAGGGGGCCTGTGCTCACAGTTTCCCCTATGAGAAAGAACCACCTCCATGATGGATTAGAAATGCCTTAGGACCAGTCTTCACATGCTCTGGAGAAGGATAGGGTCCAGGGACAAGCCTGGGCACTCCTCTGTACACTTTTTCCTCATCACTGAGCATTCAGTATAAATGGAATGCAGTGAGAGCCTGAGTGTGTAGACATGAGGACATAACCAGGACATGGCCCCATACTGAAAGCCACCCTTTTGGTATACCTTTGTATCACTTTATTAGTAATTCTTTTTAAGGTTCTAGAGCAAGAGGTCTGTGTGGCTCCGTGGCAGAACCTTTACCTAGAATGCACAGGCTCAGTTTATTCCTGAGCACTGCGAAACAAATGATAAATAATTACATGTGCATAGGATTCAATTTCTTTATTGGACACAAGTACAAATATTCTACACTATGTAAGAATGGCCATGTGGCTTTAGCCTTACCATTTTAAATCAGCTGATAAGAACTGTCTCTTCTAATACTTGGAAAAGACCAAACATCACATAGCTTTTCTCCATAGTGAGCTCAACATGAAATATGCCCATGGAGCTCTACGGCAGAGTGCAGGACCATCAGAGCAGTGGACCTGGGCACCGGGAAAGCTGAGGTCTTAGGAAAGGTCATATCTAATGTTTAGTGTGTATCTTCTCCTGTGAATGAGAAACACAGGCAATGTAGACCATAATAGTGGGAAAGAAATTTAAAACTACAACTTTCCAGGTAAAGCAGGCATTTGCAACCTTCCTAACTCTGCGACCCTTTAACACAATTCCTCATGCTCTGGTGACCCCCAACCATACAATTATTTTCATTGCTACTTCATGACTGCAGTTGTGCTACTGATAAGACTCATAATGTAAAGATCCATCTTTTCCAATGGTCTTCGGCGACCCCCGTGAGAGGGTCATTGGATACCCGAAGTGGATGTGGCCCCGGGGTAGAGAACTGCTGGGCTAAAGCACACTCTTTTATCTAGTGTTTGGGAGGCAGATCTGTGAGCTCACACCTACCCCGATGTACACAATCAGGCCTGCTAGGGCTACGTAGAGAGACCAGGTCTTCAAAAACAAATGTATATCACAGTGGATCCATGAATCAGCAGCCTGTCATCAGGAGAACGGAGCGGATCCTGGACCATTTGTTATAAGATAGCAATTTTTATATCTTTTTTTTTTTTAAAAAAACGAATCTTCAGGTTTCATTGGGAGTCAAGAGTTCATGGCACCAGAGGAAGGCTCAGAGCCACCAAGGAAGAATCCTGTTGACTCACACTTTGTTCTGAATAAAACTTCTCACTAAAACAAAGTGAGCTTAGAGGATATTTATACCATGCCACCATAGCACGACTATAGGGAACGGCTGAGCATTGTTCCAGTTCTGGGTTTTGTTGACTGAGAAACATGAGGAAGCGCCTTGTCCTGATGACTAATCAGAGCTTCGCACCTGTGTAGGAGCAGCTGCAGGTTCGCCTCCAGCCAGCAGTCCACCAGCTCTGGCAGAGTCATCCCTAAACCAATCTCTGGGCTGGAACACTGGTGTCTCTTGTCTTTCACACAATACTTTCCCCCCATTCTGCCGAGTGTGTTGAGACATGGAAGACAAAAGATCAAATTCTACCGTGCGTGTGTGCTTGCAGGTGTGCACTCATGGGGGGCTGCATGCCACAGGGCACAACGGCAGGCAGAGGAAAAATCTCAAGGATCAGTTTCCCCTCTGCACTGTCCCTCTTTTTACGTACCCTGCGGATTGGAGGGGAAGTGGGTCCATCAGACTTGATAGCAGGTGCCTTTACCTGCTGAGGTATTTCATTGGCCCCTACAAGTTACCTTAAAAAGAAATAAAGTGGGGGTCTAAAGTCATACTACCCAAACACTCCTGATATCATCTGTAAACAGTTGGTGACAGCATTTCTGAAATTAACTTGCATAGTTAAGGAATAAAACAGGAGTCTATCCTCTTAAGAAAACTCTTTGAATCTGAATTAATCTATAGTCAGTCTGGCCAGCAGTGGAAGTGTATTTTTCTTTTACTACTGAAATCATACCATCAGCCTTTCTCTCAATTTTCTTGTCCAGGACAATTGAACTACCTCGGATCCAGCCACCAGATCTGGCATATCCTCGCAGTGGTGATGCTCTACTGGTGGCATCAGTCCACAGTGTATGTCATGCAGTACAGACACAGCAAGCCTTGCCCTGACTATGTTTCCCACCTGTGAATCCAGGTATGGCCCCTGGTGAATCCAGTCATTAAGCAATACACAGTGGGGGATCTTAGACCCCATTATTTCTGAGGTTCCCAGTTTTCTTCCTTTTTGTTTAAAGGACCATCATGCTTGATAAAAATGGAAAGATACACTTGAATCCGTAGTAAGAATTGTATGACCCTTGCACCTCAGACACGCTTGTGCAGACAGTGAAAATCAGATGTTGAGAGGCAGGGAGAGTCTTGAGTAGCAGCAAACTCTATGTAAGACCAACTTCTTTTTCTTAGGAAGGACTCCTGTCCATTAAACATGGAGGCACCCTGTAGCTGACTGTAATAGGAGACATTCTCATTAAATGATCGAAATTAAGTGCATCTCCGAGGCAAGGGTTCTCCCCTGTGCTGCTCCAGGCTAGCCAGTGCCGCCTTCTGTACAGTCTGTAAGAAACCTTCACCCCAATTATCTCCCTAAGAACATTTCGATTTTTGTTTTTGTTTTTAGTTTCCTAACAACAACAAAAATTAATTCCTCATTTGAGAAAGGTATTGAGAAGAGGAAATAAAGGTGCACTGCTGTTTTTAAAAGCAATATTAGACTGGCAACGAGGGATACGACTGAGCCACACAAAGTCTGACAGCCAGATTATCAACTACCTAATTTTACGCCAGATATTTACTTCCATATTCTAATTGGATTCTTGACCCTGAATTTTGATCCCAGTTTTCCCAAAGAACTCTCATCTCTAACTCTATAGTCCTAAGTCTCATGATGAAAACTATATGGGTGCTACTTTCAAGGCCATGCCATCTGGGTGACCGTGTCTTGACCATTAAGTGAACCTTAAGCCTTAGATTGCAGATGTCTCATCCACTGGAGAGATTATTCACCTCTGCGCCTGCTTATACTTGTACTAACATTTCGTTGACAACATCAAAACATATATAAGTGCCATGTACAGTTCGGAGCTGAAGCGTTAGTCTAGTTTATACTTACTACATCTCCCTGCCCTGTTAGGGAGTGCACCTCTTATCCTTTGGTCTTTCTAAGTGCATATATTAAATCATTCACAGCACTCATGAAAACTTCTGTTTCCACCAAATATAAAGCGTCACCTAAGTTTCTTAATAAGTTGACAAGCTGTTTTAAATACTGGCATATTTTCAGAAAAAAAAAAAATGGAATTAAATAATATATCATAAAAATTTTCTTGGCATTGATGTTTGTTCCCTAAATGTACTTTCTGTACCCAGTATTAGGAAAGTTGATATGCCTCAGCTTATACCTCTGCAGAGATTTCTTTCTAGTGTAGTGGTTTTAAAATTTAAATTTCCCACGCTGGTGTGTTAGCAAGATGTTTTCCCCCAGTAGGCTCTGGAAAGGCCACCATTTCATAACCGTTGTTATGACGGAACACTATTTGACAGTGGCTGTTGTAACTTAAGTCACAAATCCTATTCATATGCTCAATTTTAGATGATCTGCACATAACAAAAGTACCATATATTTTTCAGAAAATGTCCTTTATTGGCCTGTATTGTTCTTGAATACACATTTTGTCATTTTGGACAGAAGAAATAGTAATAATGAAATTCCAATAATTTTAAGCTAAATGTGGAGCCATTTTTAATATGAACTCTTCTCAAAAAAAATACCGAGTCTTTTATTTTTTTTTATTTTTATTTCTTTTCAGACAGGGTTCCACTCTGTAGCACTGGAACTTGCTATGTAGACCAGTCTGGCCTTGTACTCAGAGAGATCTACCTGCCTCTTCCTTCTGAATGCTGGGATTAAAGGTGTGTGCCACACACCCAGCCCTATGTCTTAGTTTAATTCTTGAAATGTCTGGTTTCTTTTTGTACATGAATTCTGTAACAACTGCTGTATGTAAAACAAACATAAAAGAACATACTTTGTTTTCAAGCAACTGTTCTTTGGGGTTAAGGCCTAGGTCTGACTGTAGGCAAAGTTGTTCCCTGAAATGTTCAATATTGTAAAACTGCTGTTCTCATCTTTTATCTTTATAATGTATTTATTATAAAGGAATGACTGTGGATTGCTGTCAACTATAAACACTTCTGTATGTCAGCGTTTATTGACCATCTACTGTGTGCATAACACTACTGATAAAAATTTTAGTTACTCACATTAAAGGATATTTGGCAACTGCATAAAAATCTGAGCTTTGTAATAATGTATATTTTATCAGTTTATTAAATAGGTTGAAAATTTTATTTCCAGCTACAGTAGTTAAAAAGAACTAGTCTTTTACCTGTATACAAACTAAAACACTTTAAAAGTACATTTTTGAACTATTTGTGACTATTTTAAACTATATCATCTTTCTCTATAAAGCCATTTTCAAACAGCAAGACATCACTCATCTCTGTGGCTTATAGGAAGTGCAGTTCAGTAGCTGCATGGCAGAGTGTGCATATGTAAATAAATGGGATTTACTAAATGTGTGCTGCTTGTCATTCTTTGTGATACATTACAGCTTGAAACCATCTTAGAGTCAAAGACTGAGTCAGGGACTCTCTCACAGCGTATGATCCCACAGGACAGCGTATCCATTTGGAAGATTGTGCTTGAAGAGTACCCCCTGGAGCTGCACCCTGCCCTGTACCGCATGCCAAGGGACACGGCCTGCACTTCTGGATTCCTGCCAGTCTCTGAGAGGTCCACATCTACCCCAAAAGTATCATTTCTAACTCCACCATACCAGTGGGAAGCAGCTCGGCTGTTAGGGGAGGAGTAGACGGGTCTTATGCATTGTCACAGTAACTGTTTACAGTGAAAGGTAGTCCTGTGGCTGGTGAGAAAATGGAACTGAAACTTACCCTTTACATTTGTTTTCTGAAAGGAGAGAAATAACAGTAGGGCCCTCTTGAGGAGACTGTGCTTCTATACCCTTGCACGGCTTTTGTGAACAGCCAAGGCCCTCTTCCTGCTCTTCCAGTGTGTCATCAAGCTGCTGCCTGGCATGCACGTAATCTCAGTTGTGCCGGGCCTATGTGCATTCACACACAAGAGTTCTCATTGGCTGGCTCTTTGACAAACAAACACACACACACACACACACACACACACACACACACACACACACCCGCCACCCAAGGCAGGAGCAGCCTTGCCAGGCCACAGAGGAAGACATTGTAGCCAGTCCTGAAGAGACCTGATAAGCTAGGATCAGATGGAAGGAAGGAGGACCTCCCCCATCAGTGGACTTAGGGGCAGGGGGATGAGGGAGGAAGGGTGGGACTGGAGGGAATGAGGAAGGGGGCTATGGCTGGGATACAAAGTAAATAAACTGTAATTAATACAAAAAATAATAAAATTTTAATAAAAAAAAAGTTCTCAAAGGTCAGGCTTCAGTGTGTTAGCTATGCTACATGCGATGCTTGAGCCAACCTTTCTTAGGAAGGAATTATTCAAAATAAATAGCTCACGTATTATTACATGCTCCTCCTTGGAGAGATTACCTATAACCGCATCTGAACAGTGACTGCTTAGCACTGACTGCTCCAAAGCACGTCGACTAATACTAGACAAGATACTCCGGATTGCGGAATATTGCATTCCCATTGACACTGCAACTCAGTCACCAAAGTTAGCTCATCAGTCTAATACATAGGCCATCTCTTCAATACGCCAATGCTTCTTTGGAAGTAAAATAGTTCATCAGATATTTTTAACGCTATCAGTCTTTTAAAAGTGAAAAAAGTTACAAAATAAAAATTACTTGCCAATTCAAAAGGCATGCTAACATCTTATGTTGTGACCTTACAATCACTGTATTGGTAAATTTGTGACAATTGTGCTAGGAAGTGTTCTTGCTGTGGAGAAATTAGGCCAAGTGCATTTTCTTAAATCCTAAACCATGAACTCTTTGAGAACAAAATACATAACTGAGACGGAATCTATGTTGAGAATAAAAGAACTGAATAGAAATTTATAATGAAACTTTTAATGTTACAAAATAAACAAACAAAAACTCCAGAAGCACTGATTATAAAGAATAAGCAATCCATTTGGGATTTATTGCATTTAAAGAAGGCAGATTATTAAAACAGTAGGTGTGATAAATACAGTAAGAAAATAACTTTAACTCTCAAACAAAACAGTGAACAGAATTCAAGACTAAGCAATGTAAAGGCAATAAGGTAATAAAATTAGTGCTTAACCGGGTACAGAGAAAGCAACTGATTTCTATTTAGGTTTCCCAGCTACATTTGAGGACTTAGGTTACTTTAGCAAGTACGTTTTATAACAATTAGAAACATAACTAAAGATATAAATCCGGTTTATTTAAAGATTGGAAGTTATTTGCTTAGTGGTACATAAAAGGCTTCAGAAAATTCAAGTTTAACAAAAACTGGAGTGTAATCAAAGAAAGTGCACTTAAAGCTGTTTGCCAGCAATTAAAAGAGAGCTTCCAGGCTGGAGGTGTAGCTCAGCACTAAAGCGCTTGCCTAGCATGCACAAGCCCGGGTTCAGTTCCCAGCACTGCAAAAGAAAAGTCAAGTGGCTACTACTTCTACTGGATGACTTTTCAGTAACAAAAACAAAACCAAAAAAACCCATAGTAATAAAGTCAGTTTTCCTGAAAGTAGCACTGTGAATTTTATAATTAAAAAAAAAAAAAAAAAAAAAAAAAAACTACACCAGATCCAACCCTCCATATTTTCAGATACTTCTTTCTTTTAGTGGCTTTTGTAAACCTTCACTAGGACTGAATTCTCTCTCAAAAAAAAAATTTTTTTTTCAAAAGATTGCCTGTTTAAATTCACATTAATTCCATAATAGAGAGCTGTGATGTGCATGTCTTTATCTTAGTAGAAAACACTACCGAGCATAAAAGATTTCCAACAGCCATCTGTTACTCTCACGGTAGACACGTCATCTTCTCACAGTAGACTGTCAACTCAACAATTGGACCTAAACTAATGACTAGTTTTGCTAAAAATAATAAAGAGGAAAAACTGGCAAAGTTCACTAGACATCCTACATATATTAAACAAATGTACCCAAACTCCCCGTAACACATGCACCTTCTAGCAATGCCTAAGGGAAGTGCCCAAACCTAGAGAACCCATGGGGAGACTGCCTGGAACACCAGCACAGGAGAGTGGGCTCCACCATAGCACTTCCCACCAGCATGATGAGAACAGTAGTCAGTCCCTGTCAAACAAGAAACAGGCTAGGACTGCAAGGTGCGCACATCTGAGAGCCAAGTGATTGCCTAACCACACCCAAGGAAACACATCCCAGGGGGAGGAGCATCTGTGCTTAATATTCTAGTCAGTTACATTTCACCCAGCTTACAAAGGACCTTTTCTCCAACTACACACTAAGCAACTTGTATGCCTCAGTAGATACATTCTTCAATACCATGAAAGATGATCTTAAAATCTAACATTTACTGAAGTGATGAAAGCAAATGGCCCACTTTTAAGAAAAGATTCAAAGTTAACAAGCAGTATTAAAGCTTCTAGGTAAGAACTTTGGCCTCAGACTCCTGCTATGTTCCTAACGTGACTTCCCTTTGATGTTCAAGTCTAACAGGTTTAGTTAGGACTACTTTGCATACTTAGAAGCACAGGGCACACCCAAATGACATTCTTTAAACCAGAACTGGGCCATCCCATGACAGAGCCAGTCCTTCAGTCAGTGCTGGGTGTGCGGTAAGTGCATGGTAGCCTAATTCTCGTCGGGAATCAGGTACCTAAGGCTCAGCTTGATGGGGTGGAGTGACAGTGGCTGCGGAGACTGACATTTAAGTGGCGTCTCCTGTCTTGAGAAAGTGCCTCTAACACCAACAGGAAGGAGGTGCCCCAATTAAATGATCTGTCCAATGAGCTGGTCTCAAACGAGGAGCGGCACCTGGGTGGGCTGTAGGAGACAGTGTAAACATTTGATGCTGTGGCAGAGCCGTTTCCTAAGAATTTATGGAGCATAAGCCTGTCAGTGAATCACTTCAAATTATTCAGTGCAGTGAAAGGCAAGTGAAACTATGATTTCATAGTCACATCTCAGGAGACCACATCAGTTCATAATCCCTTTAAAAGGAAAGCATTACTGAATCTGTTCTGTAGTTTAAAGGATCTACTGCTGTTTGCATTAGCAAAGTTAATCAACCTGAGAACCAGAAGAAAAGGTGCTAACATAGTCTCCGGCCTTTGGCGCAGGGACAGTAAGTGCAGCCCAGTTCTGGGTGGTGACGTGATGGGGCTGTTCCCTGTCCACTTTTCACCTGAATGAGATCACTGAGAGGAAAGCAATAAAAAATAATAATAATAATAATAATAATAAAAAGACTGTGGCTTAGTTATATATTTTGCTTCTTTCCAAGTTCTGAACTGTGAAAGTAGGCAAATAATTTATCCTATCAGGGCACTAAAATTAAGAGCTTTTAATGAGATTATTTATAAGACACTAATTGGGGGCAAAGATAGTTAAAATATAGCAATCAAGGAAAGTAACGGTAAAAAAGTTTCCATCCCTTTTTGTAAATAGCTGTTAATCTAGAAACTTCTAATGCTTAGCTATAAAGACAGGTGATCCTAACTTAGGACAGACACAGGAGGCACAGATAGTGCATTCACATTAACTGATGCAGAGCTGCTATCATTAAACACAACCTCTACAAAATGTCAAGTTTCTCATTATCACTGGTGATATTTTTTT